GATCACGTTTCTCCGCGTTCTCGTCCCCGATCAGACCCGAAACTGATCTGAATTCTTCTGTACACCCAAAATTCGAACTCCTGCACTCTATGCAACATGAAACATGCAATCTACACTAGATTTAATCATCAAACATGCATAGATTTCAAAGCAAACATGGATTCAAACAATTCAAATCCTAAAACGTGCGTGATCGGGTTCTACGAAATCAAAACAGAGCAACCAGGCTCTGATACCACTGTTGGGTTTCCTGGGATCTCTAGAGCGAATCCTATTCCTAAGAGATCGATTCTAGGGTTTGCGCAGCGGATATAAAACAAAAATTTAACAAACCCTAAAACCATGCTTCTAATGAATCGTAGAAACGTTAGAACGCTTACCTCAATCGATCTGGGGCCTGTATCAACTGAAGAATTCGTCCGATCACTTAGGCAGGAAGATTACCTCGTCCTCTACACGTATCCACACCTCGGGATGGATTCCAACGATTGGAACTTGTCTGCTAGGACTCGAATCTCTATTCGGTTTTTGCACTTCGAGAAAACGAGACTTAGAACTTGTTGAGCCTTTTGGATCTTACCAAAAACTCTCCAAGAACTGCAAAAGTCGGCTGCCAAAAGTCTCCTCAATCATTAGGGTTTTAATCTCCTTCTTATAAAGTGATTTTACCCTAATTTCGGTTCAATTACGAAAATACCCAGAGCCTAGAACGGACGGTCCAGAAATGCACGTGGACCGTCTGTTCTAGAAGCAGAACGGACGGTCTGCGTTAGTGGACCGTCCGTTCCAGACCTTCTGGAACGGACAGACTGCGCACTCTGGAACGTCGGGTCTGGACTTGGTGGATTGTCCGTTCTGGACTTCCGGTCCGTCCGTTCCAGACCCTTCTGTCTCGGTTTTTCGTCGTTTCCTCGTGCGGTTTCGTCCTTCCCTGCGTGTGTGACCCTGTAGGCTCATTCGACATAGCAGTATAACCCGAAATCCCTATTTCGGATATACAAGTCATAGGCGGTCTCTAGCAAGACACTATGACTACCTATCTCGAATAGAGTTGGTTCGTGATCTTACGAACACCAGTGATGATTCTGGCTGATGATCCTTTTGTATCGCGATATCATACGTCGAACATAAGGCATGGACAAGCCACCTTATCTGATTCGACTGCTTTCTCGTTCACTGAGTTCGACTGTCTGAAATAGACGACGTTCGTCTATAGTGCGGCCACACATTTCTACAGTCTCGCTCACACGAGGGGCCCAGTGATATCTCTCTCTTTTACGAGAGGTACAAATCCCGTCTTGACTATCTACAATCCAGCACATGATTCGTTTCGTACGTGATACACGCCTTTATAGTCCTCCTGTTACGCAAGACGTTTGACGTATTCAAAGCATGCAACTCCTCATGTTGGATTCCGTAGATATCTCAGGTCTTAGGATCCCATCATGGAACCGCCATATGAGATTCAAGTCATGACGCTAGTCCATGTGACAATCTCATGCGGGTCAATCCAGTATTCCGTTCTCCAACGAATACCTATGATTGTGATCGTATCCAATACCTATGATCATCTATATGATCATCAATCACACATCATACTAGTCTTATTATGTCGTTATTCCCATAACGACACAAGACTATGGAGTTTAGTATCATTCATAATGATACACGGATTTCATAACAGATCTAGTATGCTAGAACATGTAATGAATCAAATACTCTCATATAAACCATAGGAAGTATCAATACATCGAATGTATCTGAACAAAGCTCATAAACAGTACATCATAGAGCACTAAACCAACATGATCAAACCGAAGTCTGGTCCGCCGGACCAACATTTTGGTCTGTCGGACCAAGACTATTTTTGGTCCGAGCTCCTTCCTCTGGTCCGCCAAACTCGTCTCGTCAGTGTTCGAACCTGTGGTCCGGCGCTGACCAACCTTTGGTCCGCCGGACCACGAGATTCTGGGCAGAAAACAGACGAAAACTTTTCATCTTGATCTGTTTTCTCGCTCCGTTCGAATCCGTTTTTCGCTCCGTTTTTTTGAGTTAATTCATGATTCAAGCCTCCACATATCTAAGTTTTGTTACATAACCCAATCTACCATAGATTCATTTATATAACAGATTTAACTTAGATCAAAACCAAGGAAAAACCAAGTTTGACCAATTTTTCAAACTTGCTCAAGAGTGATCGTTCTTCATCGAAACGAATAACCGAGCTCTGATACCACTGCTGGGTCACAAGGGATCCTAGACCGCCGATTCAAAACCGTGCTAGGATCTGGTCCGCGGGCTTACGCAGCGGAATTAGCGTTCAAAACATTTTTGAACACCCACGGACCAAACCTTTCGATGAAGAACTTCTCTTGGAGAGAAAAACTAACCTTTGATTCACAATTTGATTGCGGTTAGATGATCACAGCTAAGGTGTTGAAAGAGCCAACACCCTTTTGAGCAGTCCACACCCTTGGGATGGTTTCTAACAATTGGAAACTTGCTTGCTAGAGCTTGAAGAGAACAATTCTCTTGTTTTGGATCCAAGAACACTCTCTTGAACTTGAGAGAATTTCTCCAGATCAACCTCAACTCTTCTGAAGGCCAAGGGACGAGATAATGATGAGCCAAACCTTCCCCACCTGCTTCCCATTAGAGAAAAGGCGAGAAAAAGCAATTTGGAGTTTCTGACGCTTGGTCCGGGGCTGACCAACACTTGGTCCGCTGGACCAGGCGTGCAAAACTCGCGGAATTGACCAGTCAGAGACTTGGTCCGAAGTTGACCAACTCTTGGTCAGCCGGACAAAGCTTAGTGACCTGCAGACAGTTCGAACAGAAGCCCGATCTGGCGGACCAGAATCTTGGTCCGCCGGACCAAGCGTGCTCCGGACAAGGATTCAGTCCGTCTGACTTGTTGGTCCGCCGGACCAAGATTTCGGTCCGCCAGACCAACCATGCTCCGAGCATCACGTTCTGGTCCGTCTGACTGGTCTGGTCTGCCGGACCAACTTTTGGTCAGCTCCGGACCAGACCAGTTTCTCGGCCATTCACTCCACCTCACCAAGTCCGTCTGGTCCGGCTGACCAACTCTTGGTCAGCTCCGGACCAGACCTCAAAGACGGAGAAAAATCCGATTTTTCTCGTCCGTTCAATCTCGTTCATACACGTCCATCCCATATGTGTGTGACACTTTAGGCTCCTCCAAATACGGCAATAAACGCGAGATCCAATCTCGCTTTACAAATCATAAGTGGTCTCTAGCAAGACATTATGATTACCCGTATCGGAAAGTTTTAGATGTGATCTAACCGAACAGCCAGAGATAGCTCTAACGATGATCTTCTTTGTCTCACGATATCATAATCGAACTCATAGTTCGAATGCTTTGTCGTATCCCGAGTAGACTGTAAGAGATAGATGACATTCATCTATAGTGCGGCCACACATTTCTACAGTCTCACTCCTACGACGCGCCCAAGTGATATCTCTCTCTTTCGAGAGGGACAAAGTTCCATCTTGACTATCTACTATCCATTTCATGATTCGTAATGTACCCGAGCCACGCCTTTATAATCATCCGGTTAAAGACGACGTTTGACACAGTCAAAGTACATTACTCATCATGATGGATACAATAGATATCTCAGGTCTGAGGATCTAAAGTGAATCATCAAGTGATATTCAAGTCATGGATTAAATCCAATCGGCAATCTCACGCGAGTCATCCAGTCAGTTGTTCCAAACAAGTACTCATGATCGTGATCCGTATCCAATACACATGATTATCATCATGATCATTCATCACGCCTCATGTTAGTCTTAATTCATCATTGCTCCCACAATGACAAGCGACTAAAGAATTTAGGATCGTTCATAACGATCCATGGATGTCATTATTTATCAAATATGCAAAATAAATAATGAACAAACAATGCATTCATCCAATAAATATATCGTATCATACATAGTTCTTATATCGTATGATCATTCTAGAGCATCATATCCATCACAGTAACCTAACCCTAAATCTTATCAATTATTTTTACCCCTTCATCGACGGGAACCAAAACCTAACTCTTTTCTCACCTTCTCATCGGCAATCTCTTCGACGATGGATATTTTTTCAAAGCCCAGATTAAATATTCATCAAAACTCTTTTATTTTTGGCTTTCTCCTTAGTTTTTTTTGTGAGTCGTTATGTTTTGTTCTTTTTGGGGATTTGGAGAATTTTCTGGTGTTTATGATTCGCCGATGAAGGAGACCTTCGAATCTCAGATTCTGTACTTGAAGAGGAATACTAAGAAAGGGTAAACTCGGTACATTACATTCATATGTATTGTTTACGTATCCAAATTGTTCCCCCGATTTCATCTCCAGAAGTCTTCGTCGTTGTTAGCAATTGAAATTGACTCAAGGCAATGATGGTTCAATGGTGGTTCGACTTGATTTCTTTTCTGGTTTAGCTGGTTTAATAAAGACTAGTTTGGTTCAAGCTTAGTCAAGATTTGTTTCAGATTTTTAAGGTTCAAACGTTAGTTAGAAGATCTCTGTAACAGTTTCTATTTTTCTTGGTTTTGAGTTTCTACTTAAAGTTGGTTATATTTTTTAATCAATTGAATGAGAGGATATCTTTCCAGAAAATTTCAGATTGGTTTGAATTCTTCTTGTTTTAGAACCAGATCGAAAAATAGAGAGAAAGTAACAGTGGTATCAAAGTTGTCGTTGTTCTTTGAGGGATCTGTGAAAAAGAGATGGATCAAGGTGATGCTGCAAGTTCGTCCCATTTCTCGTTGCATTCCGTTCCTATATTTGATGGTGAAAACTATCAAGTTTGGTCAGTGAAGATGACATCTTTCATGAAGGGAGCAGACCTTTGGGAAGCTGTTGAAGAAGATTACGTTGTGGCTCCTTTAAATGGGAATCCGACGTTGAATCAGATCAGAGTCCACAAAGAGAAAGTTACAAGGTAATCCAAAGTTGTTTCATGTATCTTCTCGGGTATGACTCTGGCGATCTTTACCAAGATCATGAACCAGCCAAATGCCAAGGAGATGTGGGATTTCCTGAAAAAGGAATATAAAGGTGATGATCGCATCAAAGGCATGGAAGTCTTGAATTTCCTTCGAGACTTCGAGAGGCAGCATATGAAGGCAAATGAGTCGGTAAAGGAGTATGTGGATAGGCTGGTTGAGATTGTGAATCAGATCAGGATCCTCGGCACTGATGTCGATGATACGAAGATAGTGCAGAAGGTCATGGTCTCGGTTCCAGAAAGATTCGAAGCCACACTGGCTTCATTGGACAACACCAAGAACCTGGCAGAACTGAAATTGTCTGAGGTTCTTAGTGCTCTTCAAGCTCAAGAGCAGAGGAGGATTATGAGGAAAGAGGAGGCCACCGAGGGTGCATTGAAGGCAACGGTTAAGGAAAACTATGTTGGAAAAGGGAAACAGAAGCAGAAGCCAACTTCTGGGAATCAAAACAAGCAGGAAGGGAACTCGGATGAGGCTAATGCAGGTAGAAATTTTTCTGAACCTTGCAAACACTGCAACAAGGTGAACCATCCTCATTGGAGTTGCTGGAGGAATCCAAATGTCAAGTGTAGACATTGTGGAAAACTCGGGCATATCGAGAGATTCTGTCGAAGCAAAACTCAAAGGCTAGCTGAAGCAAAAGTAGCAGAAACAGGGGATGATGAAAATCTGTTGGTTGCTTCATGCTTCATGCTTTAGTGTGAATCCTGTCAAAGGAGGATGGTTGGTTGACAGTGGTTGTACCAACCACATGACTGGTGACAGAAACATGTTTAAATGGTTGGATACATCATTGAAAACCAAGGTGAAGATCGAAAATGGAGAGTGTATTGAAGTGCTTGGCAAGGGAGATGTTCTGATCACAGGTTTGAATGGAAAGAATGGAGTTTTGACAGACGTTCTTTACGTTCCTAAGATTGATCAGAATCTGTTAAGTGTTCCTCAGCTAGTAGAGAAGGGATTTCGAGTGGTGTTTGACAAGAACGAATGTATCATTGGCAATGGTACAGAGGAAGCTTTGTACAGAATCAAGATGAGGAACAAAAGTTTCTCGTTTACTCTTGAAAACGAGGAACATGATGCATTAAGTGGAGAAGTATCAACAGATGAGATATGGCACAAGAGGTTGGGACATTTTCATGGTCAAGGGATCATGTATATGATCAAGAATGGTGTGGTCGAGGGTCTTCCCAAGCTGCAGAAGGAAGTGTTGAACTGCAGAGCTTGTGCCTTGGGAAAACAGAAAGAGACTACCATTCAAATCTTCAAGTTCGAGAGCCAAGGACAAGCTTGAGCTCGTTCATACAGACGTGTGCGGTCCTATGCCTGTTGGATCACTGAGTGGAAGTAAGTATTTCATCATTTTCATTGATGATTTTTCAAGATTCTGTTGGATTTATTTCATGAAACTGAAGTCTGGGGTTGATGAGATATTTATGAGATTCAAGAATGAGGTTGAAACTGAAAGTGGTTGTAAGATGAAGGTGATCAGATCTAACAATGGGACTGAGTACACTTCAGGAAGGTTTAGATCGATATGTGAAGGAGCAGACATCAAGCACCAATTCTCGGTACCCTATGTTCCTCAACAGAATGGGGTTAGCGAGAGAACGAATCGTTCTATAGTGGAAATGGCTCGGTGCTTGTTGCAGGAGAAGGAGTTGCTGAAGCTGTTTAGGGCGGAGGCGTGTTCCACTGCAGTTTTTCTACAAAACTGTCTCTCAACCAAGGCACTCGACATGATAACTCCTTTGGAAGCTTGGACTGGTAAGAAACCCTTTGTTTTGAGGTATTTGGTTCCATTTGCTATGCATTGGTTGCAGATTCGAGGAGGGATAAGCTGGATCAGAAAGCTGAAATGGGGATTTTTGTGGGTCATAGTCTTGTTTCTAAAGCCTACAGAATTTATCTCCCTGAGAAGAAGAAGGTGATTGTAAGTAGAGATGTAAAATTTTCTGAGAAGGATAATTGGAATTGGAGAAAGTCTGATGATGACTCTGAGAATACTGCAGAAGAAGGGCCATCTCAAGTTGCTGCTGATTTTGATCAGCAAATTTCTGATGATCCTTTGCAGATTCTTAGAGAAGAAGAAGAGGTGGTTGACATGGAAGAAGATGAGGACCAACCTGTTAGAGGAACTAGAACACTAGAAGACATCTATGCTCGATGTAATGTAGTTGTTCTAGAACCTGTAGGTTTGGAGGAAGCTTTAAGGGATTAGAAGTGGGTAGAAGCAATGAAGGAGAAACTGAGTATGATCGAGAAACCTGGTACTTGGACTCTTGTTGACAGACCATAACAGAAGAAGGTTATTGGAGTGAAGTGGGTGTATAGAACAAAGTTGAATCCAGATGGTTCTGTTCACAAATTCAAGGCCAGGCTCGTTGTGAATAGACTACTCTGAGACGTTTGCTTCAGTGGCAAGGCTAGATACGGTTCGACTATTGCTATCTGTTGCAGCTCAAAAGGAATGAAAGATTTTTCACATGGATATCAAATATGCGTTTCTAAATGGAGAGCTAAAAGAGGAGACGTATGTGGAGCAACCACTAGGTTTCAAAGTTGAGGGAAAGGAGGAGAATGTGTACTTGCTCAAGAAGGCTTTGTATGGCCTAAAACAAGCTCCTAGAGCTTGGTATGGCATAATTGTGGGTTTGAGAGAAGCTTGAGTGAGCACACACTCTATATGAAGAAGGAAAAGGAGGCAGTGACTGTGGTGTCCTTGTATGTGGATGATATCCTCATTACAGGGAACAATCACCAGAAGATGAACTTAAGCTAAATGCTGAGTTTGAAATGTCTGATCTGGGAATTGTTTTTCAGTTTCTTGGCATTGAAATTCGGCAGAAGGCTGATGAAGTCTTCATCTCAGGATAAATACTTGAAGCAGATTTTAAAGAGGTTTAAAATGGATTCTTGTAAAAGTACAAGAACTCCAATGGATCTGAAGTCGAAGCTGCACAGGTATAATGATTCTGAATCAACAGATAAAGGAACTTACAGGAGTATGATTGGTTGTTTAATGTATTTAACAGCAACAAGACCAAACATCTTGTTTGTTGTAAATACATTATCGAGGTTTCTTAATTGTGCTAAGAAAGAGCACATGATTGCAGCGAAGAGGGTGCTAAGGTATCTCAAGGGTACTTCGAATTTTGGAGTTAGTTTCAGAAAAGGAGAGGAGCTGAAGCTGATTGGCTATGCTGATAGTGATTGGGCAGGGTATGTCGATGATATGAAGAGCACCTCGGGGTTCTGTTTTAGCCTTGGAACAGGATGTTTCTCGTAGAGCTCGAAGAAACAGAAAGTGATTGCTCAATCCACAGTTGAAGTCGAATTCATTGTAGTCACAGCGGCTGCAAATCACGCGGTATGGATCAGGAAAATTCTGAAAGATGTGTCTCTGGCATGTACCGACCTACTGAAGTTTTGGTCGACAACCAGGCCGCCATTGCAATTTCACATAATCCGGTGTTCTATGGTCGAACAAAACACATTAAGGTGAAGTACTTCTATCTGAGACAGGTCCAAGAAGAAGGAGAAGTGAAGGTTGATCATTGCAGAACAGAGGATCAGTTTGCTGATTTGTTTACTAAGGCATTCTATCGAACAAGGTTTGAATTTCTGAGAGGTTTGATCGTTATGTCAGCAAAGCCTCGAGCCAAGGAGGAGATTGTTAGCAATTGAAATTGACTCAAGGCAATGTTGGTTCAATGGTGGTTCAACTTGATTTCTTTTCTGGTTTAGCTGGTTAAATAAAGACTAGTTTGGTTCAAGCTTAGTCAAGATTTGTTTGAGATTTTTAAGGTTCAAACGTTAGTTAGAAGATCTCTGTAACAGTTTCCATTTTTCTTGGTTTTGAGTTTCTACTTAAATTTGGTTGTATTTTTTGATCAATTGAATGAGAGGATATCTTTCCAGAAAATTTCAGTTTGGTTTGAATTCTTCTTGTTTCAGAACCAGATCGGAAAACAGAGAGAAAGTAACAGTCATAAGATATTCCCCTTCCCCATCATCTTTCTTTTCTTGAAAAAATAATCATTTTTTTTCTCTTTTTATATTATTATCTCCCACTCACAACACTAATTTACGCATATCAAAATTCAAAAAGTGGAAATTCTTTGCCCAGAAAGGAATCTGGGAGAACTCTTATTTTTTGCTTTCTCCTCGAATATTTTTGTGAGTCGTGATGCTTTTCTTCTTTTTGGGAGATTTTCTGGTGTTTATGATTCTTCGATGGAGGAGGAGGCCTTCGAATCCCAGATTCTGTATGTAGATCGCCGATGAAAGGGTGAGAAAAGAGTTAAGATTTAGGGTTAGGTTATTGTATATCGATTTTCTATCTTGAACCCGGTTCATTAAATCTGGTTTGTCGAAAAACCGGAAATTGCATACGTGGCACCAATTTTCTGAGCTGGCTCGACACATCACGCGCCACGTCGGATAGGTCAATGCGTTTTTTTGACCAATTAACGTTGATGACGGTTATGGAACCGTTTAACAAGTTTAGTAATTTCCGTGTTCAATTTTGCAAGTTCGGGAATTAATAGGCATCTTTGTAAATTCAGGAATTTATATTCCACCAAATTACAAGTTCAGAAATTTTGAGGGTTTTTCTCTTTAAATATAAAAGGAAGAAAAAAATAAAGAGTGGAGAGGACGAAAACGTGGAAGCCCACATATATCCTTAGGATTTTTGTCTACCACAACTACATTAATCTATAACTAATAATGACACCTACATACATTTATAATAAAAGCAATATTAAATACAAAATATTGTTAAATGTAAAGGATAATATGAATTGGGCTTTTATATATTCTCTTCTCCTCTTTCATCTTAGGAACAACACGAAAGAAACTCACAAAAAATAAATATTCAACACTTTCTTTTCGTCGGAAAATCCACCTTCAGCCTCGTCCTTCTCTTCTCTTTGGTTTTAAGTAAATATTAAACAATTTCCTCTCGCTTTCTGTTTTGAATCATCATTTAAAACTCATACATATTCATTCTTTCTCAAAATTTTAACATCCTTTAAAGAAAATATAGAAACCAATCTAGAAGTTAACCTTCGATCTTCATCCAAAATGATTCCAAGTAGAACTCCATTGGTTTGAATTACTCAATCTATTGAATCCTTAAAAAAACACACACAATTTTGCATGTTTAATTTCTATTTAAAATATAACTTCTTGACACTTCTAAAAATATAGTTTTCTTGAAACTCATATGACCAATAATGAAAGAGTAAAAGGAGAATTAAACTCATCTTGGAAATCCAATACGATACAAATCCTTTTATTTGATGTATTTATTATGAGTTAATAGTGAAAAAATAAAATAAAATTCCATTGCTTAGGTGCTACTTAAATTCGGTGGTGTAGACAGGAATCATAATATAAAAAAAAATTAGCACAAATAAAACTAAGATGAGTGAATTTGGATGCGATTCGAGAATTTTAATTTTATTGATTTCGTAGTTTGAGTGTTGTATGAAAATTTAGTGATTGATTCGAGTTAAATTTTCAAATTTAACTGTAATTGTTTCGGGGTAAAAAGTAATGTACGGGTATATTATTTAGGAAAAAAACCCTAAAAATTCCTAAACTTGTATTTTGGAATAATATTAATTCCTAAACTTGTAGAAGTGCTTATTAATTCCCAAACTTGCAAAATTGAACACGTTAAATCCTAAACT